TCTTACATGGTCTATAAAAGTTTGATATGAAAAGGCACAGGCATTCGTTGTTAAATGTTTTTAGCATCCTGCAGATGTAGGTCTGAAATGTATGTTTTATGACTGCCATATCTTGTAGAGGGTCTTTACCAATAGTTCTCTCCATTGGTAGTCCTAGTGAGATGTGGTAAACTGATTAACTGGGATGTTTGCAATTGACAAATCACAGTTAAAGTAAACCCAGGAGGATAGCCTTCTAAGTAATATGCTTTCTAGATACAGAACTGTGCCAGAAGGAAGTCAGCTGAGATCTTACATATCCTTTATCTTATTTATGTTGCTGTTTCTGTCAAAATGCTCCCTTTTTACATTCTAAATAGCAAATTGTAATAGCCTACTGTGCTGCTCTTAAGTCACTTTCAATGTGTTTTATGCTTGTACAGAACCAAAGGTCAGCTGGCTGTAAGCAGTGTGAAGGTGGAGTTTCAGCATCTATACCAGAGTTGTGGAACAACTCAGCCTCTACATAACTACCAATCACTTTAATTTTTTTTTGAAGACTTTCCTCTTTTCTTTCAATGGAACAACCAGTTCTTTATTTTCCTATATGCCCACCTTATTTTGAAATTGCAGTATTCAGACTGGGCTCTTTGAGAACCTCTGCTGAGAATGAGACACGGTCATGCTCCTCTGACACACCCGCCTGTGGAGATGGTTGTCATGCAAGCTCCGCCTCCAGTGCCAGCTGGAGGAGCAGAAATGTCCTGTTAATGGGCAAGTGACAGGCCCCTGGTGTGGAGAGAGCCTGGCCAACTCTGGCTGACTGACCTCACTGCTAGGGCAATCCTCGATAGTGGGCTAGCTCCAGAACCCAGGCTTGAATTAGCAGTGTTTGCGTCATAGAGCTCAACCTCTGCTCCAAGAGAGCACCCTCACCCCCTATCTATCTGCTTATCTGTTTAAAATTTACAGCTGTGGATTTGAATGTGGCATATTCATAAATAGATTTTTGATAAAATTGCTGAATTTTGCTATTCAGCCTAGGATAATGACAGTTTGTGGTCAATGTGGAACATGTATTTGGTCTTTTAAATAGGGATGGTTTTGGAAAGAACATGGCCATGTCTTTTTTGTACTAGGTGCATGACCAGATAGGCAGCCTGAAGAAAGTTTAAAAACAGTTAAAAACAAGAAGGGGCCATTTGCTAGCCTTCTAGTCTGTTCAGTAGTTAGTAGCTAAATAATACACAGATCTCATCCTTGAAGGTGGTTGGAGTTCACTGAAACTCAATATACAGGATCAGCAGTATTTCCAGGTATAGCACATACCTGCATTCGCTAAGGTTTCTGTTTTCCATTGTTCTGTTTAAATTCTGCATTACCTGCCTCAGTCTTATCATTTTCTGCATCATGGATTGGTGGTTGCAGTAACATCCAATCAGAATGGAAATGTATCATCTTCCTTTAACAGTCAGGCCTAATTCTGACCATTGACCCACAGGAAGGATGGAAGCCAGTCTTAGTAGAGCTCTTGAAACTCATGTTCACAATGGATCAGATTTAATCAAGATGATACACTGATAAGATCATCATGAGTGACTTCATGTGTTTCAAAAGGAAATTGAGGACCATAAGTAGCTATGGTGCTTTGGACATCATTGTCTTCTCATGCCAAGCAGAACTCCTTACTTCACCATACAAGCGCTGTCCAGCTGTTTAGGGCTGGTTTTCTTTTAATTCATTTCTCAATTTACATTGCTTTTAAGGTCAGGAAAGAATTCGAGAAAACAGTCATTTTCAATTCTACGAATCCCAGAGTCTCTGGGATTAACTTTATCGCATTTGGTTGAATGGTCTAATCCAGCTGCGCTCGTGGTTCTAAGCGAAATTGAATAATAAAAATTGTTTTCTGAAAGAAAGCAGTGGCATTGCTCCAAGGTCTAAGCGCTTTCAGATGCTAGGAGATCGAACATGCCATGCCATTGGCTGCGGGCTCCTGCCCAGTTCCTGTGATCTGTTCTCTTTAATCCCAGGGTGGGCTGCATGCTGTGCCATCTGTACATTGCCTGCACCTCTCAGACTTTGCACCAGCATGACTGCAATAAAAAAGAACCGCACAGGCAGCTGTAGCACAATTCACCTGAATATGTACCGAATGATATCCCTGAGAAAACATCACTGAGATGAATCACCCAAGAATGCTACTGTTGGGCTTTTTAGTCTGCTGAGCAGTGATGCCATAACAAATTCCTGGAAAAGGAGTCACTAATGCTAGCATCTTAAAATGTTTTTTTGGTGTTATTTCAATATTTTTCATGATACGAGTAATAAACTGTTTCCTTCTTTAATACCATCACAGTGTGTGATGTGCTAGCTGTAAGTGTTTGCTGTGGTGAAATATATTTGAGAGTGTTTGATCCACGGAGACATTTTCAGGAAGTTGAGTTCCCCTGGGGCTTTTCCTCTAATGCATTTCATTTTCATGGATTCATATTGATCAGAAAAGCTTGAAAGTGAAATGAAAAATGCTTTGATTCTCAGTAGTAGTTGAGTGCCCCTAGCTCTGTCTTGATCTTTCTTTTCTGTCTTCCAAAAGTAGTTTCCAGGAAAACAAAATATATTATCTTCAAAAAGATAAGTTTATCCTTAAAATCCAAAGCCTGTTAATCCCCTTTCTCCCTGCAACTATGTAGATGACACAAAGGGGAGATTTTCAAACACTAACATCAGTGTTAAGTAACAAATTTTTTATCTACTATTGCTGTGGCATATTCGCTAGAGCATCACGCATGATTTCCTATGAATTTCATTTACAAATTTAAGTTAATTAATAAATATATTAATGAATGGCAATATTGCAACTACTTCATATGTTTGTGTGCGAATTTAAAAGGAAATGTGTATTTATTACCATACTTTATATTTTCTCCTGAGAAAAGGGTGGTTTTAACCAATGAACAAGTATATAACAAGCCTTGCAACAACATTTGCTGTTTTTAAAAAGAAAAACCAAGTAATGGTGTATATTGCTCATGTTGCAATTAACATGCCTCCACACCATGTAAATATATAATGGAAGAGATTTCATTATGTAAACACAAAAATGATTTGTGATGCATCATAAAAAGTCTGAAACATAGTCTGTGTGCAAGTTTTGGGGTGTGGGGTATTGTTTTGGTGTTTTTTTTGTGGAAAATGCTCTAATAGAAAGAGCAATCCTGCGGCTTCTTGAGCGCTCTTTTCTCCCAGGTTTGATTCTGGCCTAGAGGATCTTATGTGTGGAGTCTGCATGTCGTTCCTGTGTAACCCACAGACGGTTTTTCACTAGGTGCTTCAGGTTTCCTGGACCTCCCAAACGTTTTGGACTAGGCTTGATTAGCATTTTTCAACTACAGGTTTGCCATTTCCATCACCCTACAATGCACTAGTGTCCTGCCCTGGGAGGGTGCAGTCGTGTATGGTCAGTCCTGCCTTCCGCCTGTGGTTTCCATGATGCTCACCAAGGCAGAGTGGCTTTCTGGTAATGGGTGGATGGACCTGCATTTTAATAAGATCATCCTTGTAGCTGTATGCAAATCCTCACTTAATGCAATGTTATACATCCCAGCGAGTGTATGCATTGCAGGTGCAGGTAGCAGTCCTAGGGGATGTCCCAGTACTCAGCAAAGTATAAAAATAATGAGTTGGTGGCTTACTCACCAGTTACATGCCTGACCTTATGAATAATTAAATATGCATGCGTGACCATGACGACCTGATGTCAAAAAGAGATATAGATAAACTGTCTGCTATGCAGTAATACAGGAACACTGCAGCACAATATTTAAAGGCAGGCGGAAAGATTATAGGTCTTTGTATGGTTACATACTTACATACCTCATTCATTTCCACTTTCTGTTTACCTTTTGGAGCCCACGCCTTTTTAAAATGCACATTAATCTTCTGTAATTCCTCTTCCTGGGTTCATGGCATGCCATACCGGCCGAAAACAAAAAAACTGTTTCAAAGAAGAGGTTATTTGCATACTGAATTGTAGATTAAATGAGTCAGATAAAAATACTGTAGTACCCGTACTACTGTAAGGTACATGTACAAAGTACAAAATGTAGTCCAATACACCCAAACTTCCTTATTTGCGGGGGACACTTTCTGTTTTACTGCCATTAACTTAAAACACATATAGTGTGAAAAAGTACTCCTGTGCCAAATATATACCATGAGTATAGCTAATGCACTGTGGAAAGTAACATACTGTAAATGTACCAAATAACAGAAGAACATATTTTTTTGTTATACGATGAGATACGATGGGTATGGGTAATCGTATGCGCGTGGATTTTGAATTGCGGAGGCGATCTGAGAAGCTCTGGGCCTCTGAGAATCTTCTAGAAGCTTCCAGAACGTCTCTCACACCAGGCTTGGCCTGTCGTGCGGGACTGCAGATGAGGAAGAAGGGGTGTACCTTCTCCATCCTCCTCTTGTAAGACCCCAGCCTTTTCCAAAGCTTTCAGAATCACGTCTTATGTACAGAGGGAGTCGGTAAAGGACGGGTGACATCTAATGGGGACTGACAGCTTACGACTGCTGCACGTCTTGGCTAGCTCTAGTCAGTGGATTAGTTTTCTGTCACAGTGCAATTGATGTGTCCTGACATGGAACGATTCTTATCTTTGTTATTAATTTTATGACTTTCTGTAAGAAAGTTACCCCTGTAACCAACAGGCGCAGCCTTTGAAGTCACTTGGTGGTGACTTGAAACTGCAGGTACAGCTCACTGTACAAAGAACGAACAGGGTATGAGATCAGCAGGGTGACAGCATTAGTGAGATGCTTTATCTGGCTCGAGTGATGTCAGAGGGAGCGGTGGAATTAAGAGGGCTTTATTTAGCCCATAATCTCTCCTAGTGATTGCCCAAGCGAGTAAAATGTCCTGGCCACAGTAGGAAGGGATAAACCTCGGGATTAGAGCAAACCCCCACCCTCCCCCCTTTTCCTACCTTTTTCCTCTTATTTTTTCACTATCGGCTCCAAGCCTAACACAAGCAGAGACCCCGTCGCTCCGGCTGCTATGGAGTAGTAAGGCTGGGTTTACAAGGTGCGTTGTATGTGAGTGCATGTAGTGTTCTGTTTCCCCCCTCAGCGGCTGCTAATGTTTCCAAAAATTAATTATTCAAGGATTGCCTACTGACGGGGAGCCACTTGATAGCACGACCTCAAGGGAAAAAACAAAAATTGAAGCTGGAGATCAGGTGAAACGATACCTTGTCTTTTCTTTTTTGTCTTTCGTAATTTTTTGATGTAAGTGTAACCGAAGACTTGAAAGAAAACACCTTGCCCCCTCCGTTTTTTTTTTCTCTTTAAAGCCGTGTTCTTTTTTCTCTCCAATGCCTGTTTCCAGCAAGCACACTGGTATCGGGCGCTCTCAGAGCTGGGACGCTGCTGGATGGTATGAGGGGCATTGGGACGGGGAGAGTGCCTACAGTTACCAGCCCGGGGCAGCTGGAAGGAGGAATTCTTTGACGTACGGGGGTGACGGTGGAGGAGGCTGGTACGAGCCAGCCCTTGGGGTGCGCCCGGGTGACCTTGAGTTGAAGCGGGACCCCTATTCCTACCAAGACTCCCTCTACGATCAGGGCTACCCCGAGAGGCATGACCGGCGGCCCCTGAGGAAGAGCTCTGTGCCTGACCTGAACAACCACTACGACCGACACGCCATGGCAGCCCGCAGCTCTCTGCCCCCCCAGGATTACTACCAGCATGACCCCACATTAGCAGCCCGGCCACCTGAAGATCCACGAGGCTTTTATAGAGGGGAGCAACACCTGCTTAACAGATCAGCACCGCATTATGGGATGACCGGTGGGGGCCGGACAGCTTGGGATCAAGGACAAGCTAGGCCTGCTCCTCCTCCTCCCCCTACTGCTCATGAGATGAGCCGTATGTACAGGGATCCTGCCGCCGCCAAGATGATGCCAGATGGCCAGCGTGTTCGGAGCAGGGACCCTTCTCCTGGCCACTACGGAGTTGAGACCTCCTCTCCCAGGTATGGAGCTGAGCCACCCCCTCTCAGTGGCCGCTCTGTCTACAGCGACATTAACGGGCGCCCTCTGGACCCCAGGCAGCCCACGGCCACCTGCCTAGTGGTGGACCCAGCCTCTCAGGGTATGGACGGCAATCAGGGGAGCGCCTCTCGTGGAATGGGGATCAGGCAGGAAAGCCCATCGCCATACTGCTCCACAGCGGGGCAGAAAATGCCCTACGAAGGCTACGACCTCAACCCCGGGGTGGCTGCGGCTGCGGGTACTCCTGGCGCCACAGGGCCTCCACCACACCCATCTCAGACGGCCACGCTGGCGGAGCTGAAGAAGAACGTGGACCGAGAGTTCCTGGCACTGCTGCGGGCGGAGGGGCTCTCGGAGAGCACCATCACTGCTCTGTTGCAGCAGGGCTTCGACTCCCCCGGCCTGCTGGCCGTCATGGAAGAGAATGACGTGCGCTCAGTGGCCGCCAACCTGGGCCAGGCACGGGTGCTCTCCCGCCTGGCCCTCAGCTGCAAGATGGAGTTGCAGCGGCAGCACGAGGGCCCCGTCACCTCCCAGCAGCAGCAGCAGCAGCGCGTACGTACACGATCCAGTAGTTTCAGTCACCGCAATGACCTCTACCTGCAGCAGCAGGGCGTGGATGCCAATACGATGCAGCAGCCGCCCAGTGCTCTTCATTCCGTGTCCCCCAGAATGGGGGAGGTTATGGGAAGGAGGCCCAGCAGCGCCCCCTCTCAGCATCTTTTGGAAACCACCACGTATGCTGGGGGTCGCTCCCCTGGGGGTTTCCCCGTCGGCTCAGGGGGATACAGCAGTGCCTTAACCCCGGGCCGCCCCATGTCGGCTTACTCCCCCCAGCAACAGCAGCCGCCGCCGCCCAACGCCGCCCCCAAGACGGCATACTCCACCACCTACACTGTCCCCATGGAGCTGATGAAGAGGGACCGCAGCCACCCGCCTCTGTCGCCCATGCTGAGCCCCCACAGCAGCCCCCAGCTCCTGCGGAAGGGTGGGCCTCAGCCCGAGACCTCCATGATGCCCATGGGCCCCACCTTCCAGGTGCAAAACGTTAACGTTGCCAACCAGAAGATCACCCGCCGCACGGGGCCGCCCGTCATCGTCTCCACCATGGCATCACCTGACTCAAGTAACTCTTTTACCACCTCTCCCCCTCCTTCCTCCTCCTCGTCCTCCGTCGTGCCCCACTTGTTTAGTGAGTGAGTGCCTTGCTGTGGTTGTGCCACCTTTGTGCCTCATTCTGCTTCTGTCTCTGTTGTCTTTTGAAAGTGGGATTTCTTCCAGGGTGAGATCTAGTAATATCCCGGCAGAAGGGGAAAACAGGGATTTCTCCGGTTAAAAACTCAGTCGAGTCGTGATGCCGTATGCCGTATTGGAAATGGGTTTTCCTGCTGTGTGATTCTTGTGTTTCAACATGGATTCTTTCTCAGCTTCCTACAGTTAAAATCGGTTAAAAACTAGTGTTCTGTTGCCTTTTTCCATTAAAACACGCTTGGAAGTTGAACTCCAATGTGATATAAATTAGCTTTTAAAGCTATTAGACATTGTTTTAATTATGTATATATGGCACTCCAAAGCTGAGTGCTTGAAGGAGCCATTGGTTATGATCCCTGTTGAACTGCTTTGATGTAAATTCACCTCGGCTGTCTTTTAAAAATTTTATACATTTTTCCATCTGCATTCTTTTTGGGTTTCATCGTGAATTTAGTCTTCAAAATTTTCACAGTAGCCTGGTTTGCATTTATGTGCATATTAAATTAACTTGACCCTAATTCATGTAGCAGCTGTGTGAAGAATGGTTTTGGAAGGTAAATGTGTATATTTTTTATTGAGCTTATTTTTCCTTATTACAGTTTTGAACAATAAAAATGCTTCCATCTGATGATGACAGTGTCTTTTTGATGCTGACACGGTTCAGTGTTGCAGCATGCCCCCAGTGTAAATGTGTTCTGTGCATCTGGTTTTCCTCTAAGGCACTATTGATGTCTCACTGACTGCAGCTGGGGCCATGAACTAGGTACTCAAACGTAATGATCGTTATTTGGAAACGTTTTCTCGCCTTACCGTCCCTTTCATTATGACTCAGTCAGACTGACAGAGTTTTAACATTATTGTGCACACTGACTGGCTGCCTTGCATGGTTAGTTTAGCTGGCAAGAAAAGAATCTATGCTACAGATTGAAGTTTTTCCAGGCCAGGATAATGGAGCTTTATTTGAGATTGGGTGATTTTCTGCCAGATAAAAGATACTGTATCGTATTTAGAATGTGTGTTTCCTTTTTTATTCTCTGGTACTGAGCATTTTTAGGCTTCTCACGAATCCTGGTTTATGGCTGCATATGTTGCACACAAAACACTTGATGCCTCGATGCTTATGGAGTTAGTTTATTATTTTTGTAGAACTAGAGTATAACTGCTGTTTAGCAATAGTAGAGCAGAAGGGTTTATGAAATTTCTATTAATAGGTTCAGAAATTACAGTTTTGCTTTTATTTGATTTAAAGTATTGCCAAAATCTTTGTACTTGTGTATTTATGTAAGAGTGTTTTGTACATTTGACTATACATGTATACATTTGGTGGGATTTAGTGGAATTTAAAAATGAGGTATAGCGTTTTCTTTTGAAGAGCTCTGGTTATGTAAACTTCTCAAAGGTTGGCAAAATGGGAAAAAAAATAAAGGACAAATCAGAAAAACAGATTTTTTTTTTTTGTCTGGGCCACAAAGCATATTGAAGTGTTAAATGTTGAGAAGGGATCTTGTCAGAATTGGAAAAGTGATCAGAAAAATATCCACCACAGTATATTTGCGAAACTGTTCATGTTATACAGTAGTTCAGCCATGACAGCAGTGTTGCTAGGTAAATGGGCTGCCAGTCACCATTTGAAACTGCTGTTGTTATGAACAAATTTGATTCTTTTAATTGCTTAAATTGAAGCTGCCGGGAATTTGCAGTATTACTTTGAAATGCTTGTAAGATGTAGTGCAAATATATTTTTCTGATTCTTGTTTAATATTTAGTAAGTTCAAAAGTAAGTTCAGAAGACCATTAAGCATTTGTTTTATTTAGCAAAATTAAATTAAATTAAGTCCACTTTGGATGTCGTCTAAGGAATGGGTTTTTATAAAACATTGCATTTTGAGGTGTACCACAACAGTGTGATCAATCATAAAACACAGATATGAGGTGTTGTAATTAATATTATTATTATTATTATTTTAATATATCAAATTCATAAATTACCAACAAATGATCATCTGTAGACTCATATGTTAAGATATGTTTTATGAAGTACTGAAATATGACTTTTTGTTTTAAAATATTTCAAAAAACGATGCAGGGCGATAGAGCTCTCCAAATGACATGGAAAAGAAATGAAGGCAGTTTTTAAATGCCATGACCTCTCTTCCTGTTGTTTTTTGTTTGGTTTTTCAAATCAGTGCCCAATGTATCTGTTGTCTCCAAGGTCGTGTGGCCCGATTTACTCAAGTTAAACATTCTTTCAGCACAACAAACTCATTTGCATGATGCTGACATTTGTTGCTTCAGTAATTTCATCTGATAATGGCTGGCTTGCAAAGCGGATCTGAAAGCATATTCCTTAATTGTGTGTTGCTAGGCAACCTGGGTTTTGGTCGTAATCACAGAAAGATTATCTTCTCATTTAAGTAACTGGGAAAGGTTTAGCTGGAGTGGGGACCTGTGGAAATGGCTTTCAAATTTGCATTGTGTACATTCTTGTTAAAGGGGAACTCTTGGCAGATTTGACAGGGAAACAAAACAAAAAAGGATACTATAGCTGTTTTGACTTCTAATTTAATGTGTCAGAATGACACAAGAAATTGTATAAGTGGATGCTAGTTTTTAAATAGTTACTAATCATCACCAGGCAGACTTTATTTTTCTCACAAAACCTGTTTTAAAGGTGGCTTAATGTGTGGTTTGACTGCACCTTGTTTGAATGTTGTAGACAAAGCTGTAGGAAGGAAGCTTAGCTGGCTATATTTTTTAATTGACAGATAAGAATTGTTTTACTCCAGACCTTTTGTAACTGTTGTTACTTCATTTTATAAGTCTAGGTAAGAGATTTTGTTAACCAGGCATTTGTTTGAAGCATACAAGAAAATCTGATTATGTCCACAAATGTGGGGTGAAATAGCCAGGCTGAGTACCACACTGTACAAAGTAGAGAAACAGCAGGTGTGGAATCTTCTCTAAAGGGGCAGGGCACAGAATTAAATTATCGCAGGCTCCAGCGGTTGGATAAAAACATAAGCAGATCATTAATAATGTCATTAAAGGACTGAATTGAACTGCTTGGCTGCAGTTCATCTCTTCCTAATGTGGGGTGTGGATTTGTATTGGCCATGGATGTGTCAGTCAGTCACATGGGAATCAGCTCAGGTCAGTATCGCATGACGCAATACCTGCTGCTAGGTGACGCCCAATGTGATGCCTGTTTATGTGTTTGTTTGGTAGGGTGTCGGCATAAGGCGAATTACAGACAGTCCTGTGTCCACCAAACAGCTAGCTGATCACCAGCAGAATCTTGAAGGTCTCGTTGCGAAATAAGATGTTAGGTCTTTGCTGATTCATTTAAAATAAATGAATAAATGAGATTTGCGCTGTTGATAATAGAGCAAGTCAGCTAAGTGAAGGTTTTATTGACAGTGTGAAACCACACAGCCTGCCACTGCAGAATGCCTTGCTGTGCAGACCAGTGATAACTGAGAACAGCTGATCAGCCTAATTTGTGTCTTTATTAAGAGCAAGCAGGAGCCCGACAGCCATAGAGCAAAAGCAACTCGAGTTTTGGGTGCATCTTTCACTGTGCCTGACGTGTCTCTCATTCCTGTAGAGCAGAGTTCCCCAGCTTCTTTAAGCACAAGATCACTTATTGGGTTTAAGTCAAACCCAATACCTACTCCAAAGAAAATGTAGGATGGCAGGCAGTTTAAATAACATAATTTATGTTATGTACATTTAAAATCAAGTATATTTATTTGTCCTCCACTCACCAAGTCTCAGTGTAATGCCTGTGAGTACGTTTCAGTAAGTGCTGTGAAGTCTGGGATGCATTTTGCAGATCCATCAGATGAGCATCTGTGCGGTGTTGCAGTACTTAAAATTATCTTAATTTGGAACATTGCTGTCTCATAAGGGTATGTGGAACCCAAAGCAAGACTTTGCTTTACTGTCCCTTAACCTTTCAGCTAAATAATCACTGTTCATCACAATTATCTAAATATATGGTCTACTGCTTTATAAATTAAAACCCGGTGACATTCAGGAGCCTCCACACCGACTTAAACTACTTAAAGGAGTGGATTTCAGAGAAACCTGACAGTTGTCCCAGAAAATCACAGAACCAGTTTCAGTACGAATATATTTGCAGTACTGATCATATGTGACAGATCGCATTTCAGCTATTTCAGCTTTACTGTAATGGCTGTAGGGAACCCAAAGTGAATCAGCTACACATTACCTGACACCCTACTGCACACTTTGTTCCTCAGTTTAAGTAAAGTGACGGTTTCAGCTCTTAACTATCTTTGCAAGCCCATCTGTAAACTGAACTACTTACATAAACAGTTAGTTCACTGTAGGCCAAATCAAGTCAGTAAACTAAGGACTTAAACAAGTTGTGCTGCATTGAATTTAGTTGAATGGATTTTTATGATTTTGGCAACAACTTTAATTACATGAAAGAAGTTGTTTGACTTTGGTAATAATTGCAGTGGCATTTGACAACTGAGGTGAAATTAGGAAAGTTTCTGCAAAATGCTAAAAAGTCCATATGTTTCCACCAAGCATGACTGGTGCCACACCAGTTGCAATGGAAACCAACTGGTTTCTTGTTTGGAATGTTACTCTGTATTTTACCTCTTAATATATACTGCCCTTTCAACTTTCTATTTGCTAATGTTCTCCCAGAGTATGACTACCAAACACTTTAGAAGCAGTCAGTTATGATGTACAATTTCTAACTATTGGGCACTAGACTTTTCTGAAACCAGATGTGTTAATCTAAATCACAAATTCCATTATTCAGCAGCTAGAGAGGGACTTACTGTCAACCAGTGCAAAAAAAAGTATTCTTCTTCTCCTAACTGCCAGTCAATATAGGGT